ACACGATAGTAAAGCTAGATAGCTGATTGATGGTGCACAGTGTTAATGGCAACAGTGTAATTTTTATAACAGGAGAATTTGCTTCTAGTTAAGTAGATTTCCTTCTTTTAAGCTCAGACAGGAAGAAGGACAACTAGAAAGCTAGGTAGCTAGGTGTTTAATGAAAAACACTAGAACTGCTTTTGATGGCTGTCAGCACATCATTCTCATTTGCACATTACTATACATCAGTTTAGCTGTTCTTAAATGTGACATAAAAATACTAAATGAGAAGATTTTGATCAGGCTTGATTTACATCTGGGAAGGCCTACAAGATCCTTTGTACAAAATGCAGTGTTGAAGACATTCAAAAATATGTTGTTTCTGCTACATGGTAGCTGGAGAACAAATTTTTATAGAAAAAAATATTTCTTCAGATAGTCAGCATCTGCTTTGAGGCCTTGGTACACCTGTTTCATCAAACTGATTACTTTTATGCTTTCAAATCTGTCTGTACATCTGCAAAGGAATATTTTAGTTATGTAGGCTTTCACCTATGAAGTGACAGACATCCATTTTGTTTGAACATTAATTTTCCGGAGCATCAACATACATCTGGGCTGTGACACAGCTAGGCTTATAGTCACATGGATACCTTGAAGCTCAAGAAGGTTGTCATGTTTAATCCAGGCTGGCAACTAAGCACCACGCAGCCGCCTGCTCACTCCTCCCATGGTGGGATGGTGGAGAGAATTGCAAGAGTGAAAGAGAAAGTGAGAAAACTTGTGGGTTGAAATATAGTCAGTTTAATAGGTAAAGCAAAAGCCACATACACAAGCAAAGCAAGACAAGGAATCCATTCCCCCCTTCCCATGGGCAGGCAGGTGTTCAGCCATCTCCAGGAAAGCAGGACTGCAGCATGTGTAACAATTACTTGGGAAGACAAACACCATCACTCTGAACATCTGCCCTTTCCTTCTTCTTCCCTCAGCTTTGTATGCTGAGCATGACATCATATCATGGGATATCCCTGTGGTCAGCTGGGGTCAGCTGTCCCAGCTGTGTCCCCTCCCAACTCCTTGTGCACCCCCAGCCTCCTCGCTGGTGGGCTGGTGTGAGGAGCAGAAAAGGCCTTGGCTCTGTGTAAGCACTGCTCAGCAGTAACAAAAACATCTCTATTATCAACACTGTTTGCAGTAGCCTTATACTAGCTACTATGAAGAAAATTAACTCTATCCCAACCAAGAACCAAAATGTTCTTAGTTATTCCAGTGGAAATTAGTTTTTCTGGCCTGGGACTGCATTCAGTCTAGCAGCACATCTTTGACAATACAGCCTGTGAAGACTACTGGTTTTGTCAGTATATCCCTGGTCCTTCTGTCTGCAAACCTCTGCTATAAAGAGGTCACCATCTTAATTCATTGCCCCAGTGCAGACCAAAGTGATGGCAGAAGACATAACTGCTACATCAAAGACAGCCCTGCTCTGCCCGTGTCAATGTACTCACTGAACCGAGCATTGCTCATGTTCAGTCCTTCTGCACCACTTTCATTTTTTTAAAAACAGCATATTGATTTTATTTTCTGCCAAGAAAGATTTCTGAGCACACTAAAATTGTTACCAGAAAACAAAATGATAACTTTTATACTTATTGAATGACTTTTTTTGCTCTTGGAAAAAATAGTAGTATCCAAAAGTTGTCAAAATGTGACATATTTGAATCTGCAATTGTGCAAATCAGATACAGCATTTTTAAATTGTTATAGCATTTCAATGCATTTATAGGCTTTCTTTTTAAAATGAGCTTTGTTTAATGTATGCCTTGTATCTAGCTTGAAAAAATTACTTATTCTGCCCATTTTACTATTAATCAGAATCACCTGTGTATAAACTGGAGAAATGCATCCCCTGCAAAAAGGAGGGTAACTTCTTTAACAGTTTTTTTCCCAAGATATGGATGAATGGAAAAAATACATTCAAAGCGATCTAACAATAAATGATTTTTTACAGGGCTCTTTTTCTTGAGCATCAGCCAGTGAAATGTATCCTGAGTACATATATTAATACCCTTTGTAAACAAGAAATTTGTTTTGAGCAATGTAGGGGGTAAAAACATTTTACTTGGCATCACAATGTTCAGTTATAACTGGTTTGGAATTTTGACTATTTACAGACAAGTTACGGTGTGACTTTTCACAGTATGAAATTAATCACATTGTTAAAAAAATAAAAGATTGATTGGTTTTATATAGTGTTGTATCATTTATTGTGGTAGCTGTTAAAAATAGATAACCAGAGGCAAATAGATGTTAATGGTCCCTTTCACTATTAAAAAATCAATGTTTCCTGGATACAAAATACCTTAATGTGTTCTTTTTGCTTAAAAGTGTTTGATTTGAAAATACCCAAACAAATAAGTCTGCATTCAGAAATCATCTTTGTTTTACCAGCACTTGAATTTTCATGTCAAGTTTGATAAATATTTTCTGTGCAAATTAACCATGCAGTTCAAGAAAGAAGAAGACTGGGCAAGTTACTACTTGTCTTCCAATAACAGAAACAGATACTCAGTACTTATTTTTTTCTTAAAATATTATTTTACATATATTCATGTAATTTTTTAAAGGCCATATAATCTAGGTTAAGCAACCTTTCCACATCTTTTTTTATATTTCTTTCAAACTTGGAGAGCAGTTAGATTTTCAAATGTAAGTAATTAAAATTGTAAGCTATTGAGTTATTGACTAATACTGAGCTATTAATCAAGCTAAAAAAATTCTACAATCAGGGTTCAGTGCTCTGAAGCACTGTAAAATAATAGTATTTGTGTTCAGTGATGCAAGTAGCCACAATTAAGCAGTTCACTTGACAAATGAGATAGTTCACTTTATTTTGCACTTAATTGAATTGTACATGCTTGGTCACCATTGTCTCCTTCCCTTTAGTTTTGGTTTCTAGCTATTTAAACATACACATTTATTAAAGAGAGAGCAATTAAGTTGGTGTTGGCCATTGGGTCTAGAAATGCAGACGTCAAGAGCTGTGCCATAAAATGTTGTGCAGTGTAAAAAAATAATTTATATACCTCTAGAAAAAGTCTTACTTTTTTAAAAAAAACTCTGATAAGCATGTAGGACTCTGTTACTAACTTAAATCAAATGTGAAAAGGAAAAAAACCTCAGTGTATAAGATGTTGATATTAAATCACTTTTACTAAACAGAAATATATAAACATTGTTTATTCACATTTTATTTTAGTTAGGAGTGGTACATGCATTTCAGTGGTCCTGTCTCTGCTTGCTGTCCTTTTCATTCTGTGTTTGCAGTGTTTGTTATGATTCTGAATTTGTAACATTCTCAGTTGAGTGTGTTTGTTTGTTTATGTTTGTTTTTAACAAACTGTGGTGTTGAAAACCTAAGTTCTGGGTTTCATTTCAAGATCTCAAAAAAGGCATTTTCAGTCTGGATGGCAGAAACTTGTTAATTAAATGCAAATATTTTCAACAGCAGTAAGAAAATAGAAAGGTAATTGTTACATGGCAGTTACTTTTGCTCCAAAGCAGTATGAAGAATTAAATTGCAAACAATCACATAATCCGCCTAGGATGTAGGTATAACGATCAGACATGCATTTGTGGGTAACACTGTAGCTGGCACCAAGAGACAGAAGATTTCATCAGTCTCTTAGCTCCGATGTGTGAGGATTTTTTGTGACTAAGGAGTATCATGTTGAGTTTAGGAGAAATAAGGCAGGCATGTGATGTACAGTGCAGGCTCACTAGCTTGCTGAGTTATGTTTTATGTGGCATGATGCCCATAGACTCTTGGTCAATTCATGCACAAGCATTTCACATTTGCTAAGAGGCCATGAAGTTTTGGGTATGTGTCTCCCAAGAAAGCCACAGAGAAGTGCACCTGCAGGTCTCTTTGGAAATGTCTGGGAAGAACAGGTGTTCCTGCCCATACGGTTTCCTGTTCATAGAAAGCACTGACAGCATGATGTTTCTCTTTTCCTTTGCAGGCCCTACCAGTGTGGTCACTGCTCCCAGTCTTTCTCCCAACCTTCAGAGCTGAGGAACCACGTAGTTACGCACTCCAGCGACAGGCCTTTCAAGTGTGGCTACTGCGGTCGTGCCTTTGCTGGTGCCACAACACTCAACAATCACATCCGGACACACACTGGGGAAAAGCCCTTTAAGTAAGTACTTGAAGCCAGCAGCATTTGCCAGCTGAGATTAGAGAAGGACATGCATCACTGCTATGCACTAGCATCACCGGTCTGTACCAGCACACAGTTACCTTGAAAGCCAAGGTCAGACCTCCAGATAAATCCATTAGTGGTGTGGCTAAAATCAGGATTAAACCAGGCTTGTTTCTGGCTGCCTTGCAAGCCCTCAGCAATTTTCTGTCCTCTGATGAGAACTTGCTTGTTTTAATTAAATGACAAGCTGCTGCCAGAGAACCATAGCGGAAAATACACTGAAGATGGTGACAGGCTAAGCTGTAAGAACATTAATATGATTCTTTAATGTCTGTATGCTAGAGGTAGATGGAGCTTCACATAAAAGCTAATTTGGATCTAGTTAAATGTAGGGGAGAAATACACATCTTTTTTTAGTCTCAGAATCACTGCATAGAAAATGTAGCTCTGGCTTGTGGCATAAGTTTGCTAAGATCATAATAATAAATTGATAGTGTCCAGCTGTTAAAATTGCAAGAAAAAACCAAAAAGTCACCTGGTCAAGATAGTTTTCAATTAAACACACGCTGCTTATTTCTGCAGTTACTTTTTATTGAAATTAAAGCAAGCACACACTTGATTTTCAGGAATTTTCCCTCTATGCTCACCTCCAGCCATAGCATAGCTGATCCAGGTGGATTTTACTTTATGTTGTGCAAGACTCTGCCTACCTAACAGGAGGTGTTCTCCAAGTCAGAATACAAATTTTCCGTATTTGTATCTGTGTCTTTGCTGAACTTACAGAGAGAAATTTTATGGATATGATACCTGGAACAATTTTACTTTTGAAGAAAAATAATGTATTGATATCACTTCTTTTAGAAGATACCTGATGGTCCTAGGAGGAATGGGAATAAGTGTAGAAGAAGGTGTGCGTCTCTCCCACTTCTCCAGGGATTGTCTGTCCTCTGTGTACTTTTCTCCATTTGTCTTTCTTTTCCACTTTTGCCATACTGTGCTCTCAGTCTGGTTAATGTAAGAGAGCTCAGCCATGGGGCCTGTCAGAACCCCTCATAACAAGCTCAGTAGAGATACCGGTAGAGATGCTTTGCCTCCATATATGGTTGAAAGGAAGTATAGCCTCCATACATGTCTCTGCTGGGGGCAAGGGGACAGAGCCAGGAACCAAATACTGCATACCAGAAATCATGGCTAGAATAGTGTTGCAGGTGGCAAGGCACAGAAACTGAGAGCACTGAAACATCAACTCCTCTAGAACCAGTCTGTTGAATGCTCAGAGCCCATAGAAAGTGAGCCAAAAATAGTGTGAGCAATCAGATTGATTTTATCTAGTTGCTGTGTAAATAGATTTTAGTAATTAATGGAAGAGGTTTCCGGGTCAAAATGGAAAATAGATTTCTTTTAATGTTAAGGTGTTACTTATGTGTAACCTTGTTGACTCCACTTAATTTTTTTCCTTAACATCCTGTTTTTGTCATGTTTCCAATAGATCTGCTATTTTGCCCCATTTAAAGTCATTATTTTTCCCTTTTGGTTTAGTATTTTTTTCCCCTTTTCCAAAATGGTCTTGACTACAGCACAATTTCATTTGTGAAAGGGCTTAATGTATGTACTACAATTAACCAGTGGTCTGGGATTTGTTTGTTTGCTTATGCTGAAGTATTTCAGTATTCCAGTATGTATCTGCCCATTCTTAAAGGTGCAGGGCAGAGCAACAAAAAATGTGGATGCTTTGTACTTCTTTATGATGTGTGGCATAATTTTATTCTCGTAAGATTTTTATTTAGTTTCTTCCTTAAACTCAAGAAACAGTAGTACCAATTTCTCTCTGGAAGACTTGTTGAAGTATTTGCAGTAAGCTGTCTAGTAATTTCACATGAAGCTAAACCTGGAGCTGCAGATCTTCCCACCCCTGCTAGTCAGATAAGGGGACTCACATATATGCACTGATGCTGCAAGCTGTTCAAAAGGGCAGATTTTCTTCCCATGCAGGACTGCTTGCATTTGAGAGGAGGGACAGAAAACTTACCAGAAACTGATACACCCTCTCTGCTGGAGGAAAAAGAGACAGCTGCAGCTCATCTTGATGTCTCATCACCATTTTGATCCTCCTTTGAAAAGAAGGAGTCCAAGACCTGGTATTAAGTAAGCTTAGGAAAAAAACCTCAACAAATTCTAGTAAATAAGAACCATAAATGGGACAAACAAGATTTCTGTCTCTTGATCATGCAATTTAGGTTTTAAATATTTGTTTACAAAGCGATTTTGAGTGTACACTTACCAAAAAAAGTGCAAAACGGAAGAGTCTGTTGAAGTAGGGTTTCTGTACCTCAAAAAAGTCTGTATTTGTGGTAATGTACATACTTCTGTTAAATAATATTTTTACTATTAGCAAGAACAATCATGTATGGATAGTGCTGAATTACTTAAATTCTACCTAAGTTATTTTAAAAATAACAGGGATGATTTTAAAGGTATTACTACATTCAATTTCATAGGTGAAAATGGGCAGTCAACTGGACAATTAACTTGCACCTACTGTGAATGCAGTCTTACTGCAGTAAGGCAGTTATGTTTGTAAGTGGTATTTATACAAAATACAGTGTGCATGGATTAGGCAGGCAATGTCAAAAACTAAGTGTATGTTTGTACACATATTATTTTCTGAAGGTGTCTTTAAAAACGGTGAACACTGGGTGACAGTATTTTAAAATAATTCAAATTAATTGTTATTTAAGAGGATTTCTGTGATTGGTTAAAGAGCTTTTTCTGTGAGAAGGCGCTTTCTTTGTAGGTTGTAGGTAACTTCGGATGTATGGTGGAAGACTTTTCTATTTACTTTTCGTTACAGATAACAATGCTAAGTGAGGTTATCTGTAGTCAAAGCTTTAGCTGCATTGCCTGGACTGCAGGTCCAGTAAGAAGAGATTTCTTTTCATGTCATCACGACCTATCAAGTCAGCCTCACCACTGTAAAGTTTTTGTATATTCTTATCTTACTGAAGTCTCCACTATGGCTGCTAGTCTTGGAACAAAGCTTGTAAGGAAATTAAAAGGTAGGGGAAAAAGGATAATTACTGACCATCCCCATTTTCTTAAATTCTCCCCCCCCCCCCTTCAATTTCTGCAAAATTAAAGATTAATTAAGGGATTTTCCTGCAGAATGAGGGTTATACAAACATCTAATATTCAGGAGTCAACCAAAAAGAATTAGAGAAAAGATTCTTTCAGATGGGGATAACCTAGGTGTTTTTAATTATTTTTTACTGAAATGCAAACCTGGGGAACATTAATTTCAGGTTGAATATAGATGTTGTACCTGAAGTGACATCTGAGCTTTGTCCTGGTTTGTGTTTGTGTTTTTTTAACCCTTTCAAATTATTTTAAAATTTAGTGTTAAATGCAGTTCTTGAATGACATCTTAAAATGTATATTTTGAAAATATCAATTGAAGATATTTTTTTCCTGAAACAGACCTTCAGCATTTTCTTCACCCAAAGCCTTTCAGGCTTTATGTCAGAGGTTGACATAAACTTGGGAATTAAACCATTTCTGTCTGTAATCCACAATGTCAATGTTTTGAAAGCACGATGAAACAAACAAGCAGACCAGTGACAATGAGGGCTATCTAATCGAACTCAGAAACCCCAGTTCCTTAGAAATATCCAAAACCTGTTGATGTTCATGTTGTTTGTGAATTTAAGAGCCATTTTATTTATCACCCCCACTCAAGGAAATTGCATAGGGAAACCTTGTGGTAGAATGAAGTCTTGTGTTTGATGAGGTACTACATTGCTCCTTACAATTAACATGAAGGCATGGACATATTGTAAAAAAACATAACATGGATCCAGTTTTCACTGGTGACATCTAATTGTGTGAGGACTTTTAAATTGCTTCTTTGGATCTACATTGTGTCAGGGGCTGTTTAAATTATTCTCAAATGCCATCAGATGGCTTAAGTGGAAATTAAGTGGTCTCTCAGTTAATAGGTATGATTATAGCCAATACTTGTATTTACACTTGAGGCTTAACCAAAAATTTGGTATATGTCTAATACCCAGGCTTGGGCTTGGGCTCAGTACTTTGTGAGCGGTGTCAGGAAAGGTGGACTCTTTTCCCTTTCGGACTACTTTGGCTACTATTCAACCTTGTAACACAATGTTAAACATGTGTGGTTTGTAGTATAGAAACACGCACACAAAACCATGCAAACACATACTCACCAGTCTCATAGACACAGGTCATTGCAGTGGTTGCTCTGCTATGACAGGCTAGGAAAGGATGGTTGATAGAGGGAAAGGGTACATAACAATTCAAAAGAAAAAATATTCCTGCTTTTCCTCTCATTCCTGCTGACCATGAGATAGTTATGCTGACTGCTGTGACACTATTACCTTCGCCTACACCAGTCTGTATCAGGCAACAGCTTCTCTGGACCACACTGAAATGTCAGGGGTCTAATGCAGATCCCTGCCTGCAAGCCAGGTACTTATATATCCAAAACTATAGTCCTGAAACCCCATCCACACACTTTGCGTGTGCCTAGAAAATACTAGGCACCTCGGGTTCTATCTGAAGATTACCCAGGTACATGAGAAAGCCAAGGGAATTAGGCGCTTTGCCTAAGGCTTTATTCTGACCTTTGCCCAAGGGCTGTATAGTGCAGACAGCACAGCCTGACCAGCAACAACACTTGGCACCCACATCCATCCTGTCTGAAGGGCAGATGTTTGTAGCGAGAGATTTATTCTTTTCTGGTCTCTCTTTAGCATCCTTCTTTCCTGTGTCTGTATCAAAGTGTCCCAGAACAGCCTGTAGCTAGGAAGTTAGAGCACTCAGCCAGAAGAAGCTGGTGGATAAATGACACAAACTTGCATTTTAAAGGAATACAGTGAGCCTTGCTCTATGCTTTCACGAGCAATGCAAGGTGCTGAGTGAATGCTGTGCCCAGCTGTAGCCTCCCAGGCAAGCTCCAGAAAGGGTAAGGAGGTCTACCACAGCTTAATGGCCAGCAGTTTTAATGAGTAACTCTGTCTTTTCATCACCTTATAGTCTTTCACTGATTCACATATGGCCCTTAGGCATCCTGATATAGTATATTTCATTTATTTGGCCAGGCACTTACTTAGAAGTCAAAGTGTTGCCACTCCTGATTTTGCAGGTTATTTTGCAACTATTACCACTTACAGCTTGGTTAGGCAGGGATCCAAGCCTCCTATTACTCAGTAAGCAAAGTGCTTGTCTTTGTAGGCATCAAAATAACAAAACTATCAAGTTCAAGTAGATGGCAATATCTCGTATAGACTAAGTTAACCCCTCAGCCTTAAATTTTATTCTAATGCCTCTGTGATAGATAAATATATATGTATTTAAAATAATACAATAATTTGCAAGTTTGTCAGGCAATGAAAGGTAGTATATTTTGACACACTAATCCAGTAACTAATCAGTTTTCTAATAAACAATCAGCAGTACACTAATGTGTCATCAGCACTTCAGGAGCTCTGGAGAGTGGATGATCTGCACATAGACGTTAATGAATACCCCAAAAATCATTAAGTAATCAATACTTCTGAGTTATTTTCATTGAGCTGATAGGTCTGATACATTAAAGCTGACATTTTACATTTGTCAAGATCACAGTGCAGTTTTTAACAGTGGAACAGGCTGCTAAAAATATTCCATGAAAGATAATCAAAGAAACACAACTTAAAAAGTCTTGACATTTTAGATTGGTACAGTAGCTTGGACGAATGAGTCTGTAATGTCTGTGCTAAATGTTCATGAAGCAGAACTTTATTACTTAAAATTACTAATGTGGAGAATATTCCACAATTATGCATATGCATAAATATCTTTCTTTTCCTTTCTCTGTTTTTTTTTTTTTTGTAAGCAGCTAGATCAGTGACAGTTCACTTTCTATCATTCACATCAGTGAAGAGAGAAAGATGAATATGAATTAGCTGAGCCCTTTGTTTTCCTCACTTCTTCTTTGAAGGTGAAGAATTCATCGTAGTGATGCTTTTATGATAATCTTCTTTGAAGATAAAACATCACACAGAACCATTAAATCAAAGGTGGCTTTTGGAGCAAGCACCATACGAGAAAAATCCGCTGCATCCGTATTTGCAGCTCATCAAACACTCCTATCTAGTGTTCAGAATGCAAATTAAGAGGGCAGTATTTGGGAGATTAAATGCGATAGATTCTCTTTCAGAGCAGGCATAGGGGATTCATTCCAAGCTAGCAATAACCCCCATCCTATCCCCTCCAAAATTCAATGGCTTTGTTCATTTGTTCACATTATTTTTTCTGTGAATTATGGTTCTTTAAAGAGAGGACAGGGTAGAAAGAGAGATGACATAAAAGACAGTGAAGCAAACGCTGGTGACTGTTATGAGTTCTTGCTCAATCCACAGATTTCTCAAATAGTGTGGATGTTTTCAGATAATTAAGTAAGCACTAACTCTATGTTTAAAATGAACCCCACTGGATAGTCAGAGCAGATAAACAAAGAGTTTTCTCTTGTTCTAGCACTGAACGATTATTGCTTTGTGATTTCTCCTCCTCCAATAGGCAATTGTGGATTTTAAATTAGCAGAAGGTGAAATTCTATTTGTCATCAATTTCTCCTAGGGGTTACAGAGCAGAAAACTGCAGACAAGCTGCTTCTTTGATGGCTCACTCCTAAAAATCTCTTTTTGTTCTTTATCTATTTGAACTGACAGTGATCAGAGCTACAGCAGGACAGGCCTCTCTGGAGAAATCACCTTCCCCCTGTCTATTGACAGATTCCTCTGTTCTGAATCAGACAGGCCTTGTCCCATCATAGGCATCAAGGCCTTGGAAGTAGCCACCAATTAAACCTCTTGAGCCA